AAACGATATTTTATTTGAATATATTGTCATTCAGTAATTTCAGGCAATCCAAGTTATTTTTGTAATATATTAAGTGTTTTAAAAGACTTTTTAATCAAGTGTTGCAATAGCAGCAGTAGTAATTTCATTTCGTTGTAAGTACAGTATAAGGTAAATCGAAATTATATGCAATCTAAATCAGTATCACAATAAAACAATATAATTGCTGTAAGACATTTCATAGTACAACATAATGAACAATAATACTGTAAACAATAAACAGTTACTAATACCAGCACAATGTTAGCATAAATGTACAGTGAATTAATTTTCAGCTGCGATTATCCCATTGCATCAATTTCTCATGGGAATTAGGATCAAATTTAAGTTTTCTTCCCAACATCATCCATGCGTGTCCTGATCTTTAAGGATAGTGGCCACTCAGAAGCAAGCCTTGCTCAGTTCAGAGGACTGTATCTAATATTCTTTTGACTGTTACAAAGCTTCAGCTAAAGGAATGTCATTTGCAGAATGGGAAAGGTTTGAGTTTTTGTCTTTTGTGAGGGTTTTGCTGATCTTCTGTGTGGGAAACTCTAGGAGATTAAGTGGAAGCCTTCAGTGGCAGATAGATAGATAGATAGATAGATAGATAGATAGATAGATAGATAGATAGATAGATAGATGTATTCATTCATTCATTCATTCATTCATTTACAGGACTTATATGGCCACCTATCTCATATGATGACTCTAGGCGGCTCACAACAATTCATAAAAAAACACGGTTAAAAACAAAAGTACCCTTTCTTCCAGGTGCCAGATCAATCATCCTCCCAGCTCAAGCCCCATCCTAGCTCAGTGCTTAGGGGAAGAGCCAGGTTTTTACAGCTGTATGGAAAAGGGTAGAGATTTTTGCCAAAAATCATCACAATACAGGTAGAAATGATAAGCCTTAATTATAGATGTAACAATTAAAGCACTTGTTAAAAAGTGCTTGTGAAATTTCTTTGCAGATTGGATAGACGGTGCAACCATGTAAATAACATGTGAGGATGTCTCTCTCAAATGTTCAGTTTATTATAGTTTCAGGAGAAATAACCCAGTGCTGCTTTAAAATAGCAGACAAAAATCTCTCCCTTTCAGAAAAGGCAACACAGCAAATAATTAAGAATACCTTCCACATAATTGCAGCCTTATATACAAAGGTGATTACAAGCGCAGTGGTTATTGTTTAGAATCTGATTTGGGAAAAATCAGTGCAAGATTTTTGTAAAGTCACTCTACAATGATTCATCTTTACTGAAAAATACCATCTCAAGAATAAGAACCAAACAAGGAGTTTCCATCTGGGAAGATGGGAAGGAAGATGGGAAGGAAGCTCCTTGGTTGCCTATCAATGTCTGTTGGATGTTAATTGGGATGATTTCTCTTGTTTTATTTTTCCTTTTGCTTCACTGTGCACTGCCCAGAGTTGCAATTCTTGAGTTGGGCGGCCATATAAATTAGATAGATAGATAGATAGATAGATAGATAGATAGATAGATAGATAGATAGATAGATAGATAAACAAACACAGCACTTCATTAACAACACATTCATAAATCCAATATCTCAGGCCAAGGTGAGAATTATCTGCCAAAAATGGTTTCCATGCCCAGATTCAGCAGCCTTTTTGGCTCATAGATTACAGCTTGCTGTCTTAGTCACTGGGCATTTGGCTATATTTATGAGATGGTCAAAGTCTGGATAATATTAGATTTCCTACATTCAATAATATTAGTATGTGTTAATTCAATACATAATTTTTAATTCATATCCCAGTTATAATTTATTTGGATATTAAGAATAATATAGTTCTGATACAGTTTGTATAGTTTCCTGGTAGGTTTTCACTAATTGATTCCCCCAATCTCTTATATATTAGGTAAATAAGAGGGTAAGATACTTATGTCAGAAACTTTTTTCCCAACTCTTAATTCTTTAATATAAAAATTTGGTATCTTGTCCAGTCACTCCATAAATTAAGATAAATCAGTCTTGATGCCACTGGGTGTTAGTAATAATTCTAGCAAGTTTAGGACTATGTCCAGAAGACCATGAAGCATTTCTTATACTAGGAGGGCCATTTCCAGAAAAATACCTCTCTTTCAGCCTAGCCTACTTAACTAAATTGTTTTTATAGGGACCAAATGAGGAGATATACATCATCTGGAGTTCTCAAGAGAAATGCTGAAATGTAATTGCAATAATAAATGAATGAATGAATGAATGAATGAATGAATGAATGAATGAATGAATGAATACAGAGGCAGGATG